ATCTAGCAATATAATGTCTTCAAGAGACACATTTAAAAGAAAGGATAGGACAAGTTAAAACAAAGAGATAGAAAAAGTAAACCATGAACCAAAAGAAAGATAAGCAGACACCTAATATCAGAAAATATAATTCAAGGTAAAAAGCATCCTTAGGGGCAAAGGGAGACAGTAGATCAAGAATATACAATATACAGATAATACAACACATCTGTATTATTAATATAGATGCTCTCAAAAATATAAGCTCAAAACAGATAAAGCAATGAGCAGCCCTTGGTTCTCCCTTGATAATACTGCCTCACCTGCAGCCTTCTCAAATAATGTCTATTTTAACTTCCACATCCCCCTTTATTACCTGGCCTGGAAATGAGGTAGGGGCTCTTCCTCACTCCTGAGTGCTATTTCCAGATCATTCTCCCCTACCCTCTTTATATGCTATAAAATATTATATAGACTATATAATAATACTCAACTTTAAATCTCCTGCCCTTTCTGTTATGATCATTTGCCTCCTCCTTGCTCATTGTCACTCTGTCTAGTACTTCTGTCATAATCCCTAACAATATCAACAGTTAAATAGCTCTTTCTAACCCCTGATGTTATAATGTTTTGATCTGCTCTCCTTCGGTTATTTCATCCTTTAGCCACCAGTCATACCTTTGACCTTGTCATTACAAAACAAACCTGCAACCCTTCAATAATCTCAATTTCAAACAACTCATTCTTCAAATATTGTCTCTTTACAGTTCACTTCTACTAGTCCCCCAATTCCAACAATCCTTTGATTGCCACAGGAACCTTTTACTTCATTGGTTCTATCACTTTTTTTTACTGTCTCCCACCTCTTCATGTCCTCACTTCCTTTGTAACCCAGTATAAATTTCCATGGTCAATAATTATCCCTCCCTGACATATGTGCTGATTTCCAATTTACTTGTTCCTCTGTTGCTCTGAAGTACTCTTTGGCTGACCACAGCCCAGCTTAAATCCAATTTTCTCTGCCTATTCTATTACTGTACCCTGGACATCTTTTCTGTATTCCTTGGACATCTTTTCCTATCTATATTTCTTTTATGGTCTCACTCAGTATTATGGCTTTAAATACTATATATGTGCTGATGACCACAAATTTGTATCTCAGCTTTAACTTTGCCTCTGAACTCTGTCCCTGAATTCTAGTCCTAGATACCTAACTATCCACTTGCTATCTCCACATGGCTAAGCTCCTGAGAGTCTATACCACCAAGCCCACTCCTTATGCTTTGTCCCTGGTAATAGTTGTGCCTTGAATTTGTAGCTTGAATTTACCTTATATAAAAGTTACCTGTTTGGTTTCTGGGTTATTTTTGTTCTGTGTTTTTTAGTTTCTGTTCATATTGGCCTTGACTATCTATCTACTTAAATCTATTTTCAACTTGCCCATTATTTTTTTCATTTAAAGGGTATCTCTTTTAGATAATATACACTAGGCCTTAATGAAATCAAAGGAACTAGGTACAGATACGACAGAGATAAAAAACATTATGGTCAATAATAGGCTATACAGTAAATAACTTAGATGAAGTAGATAATTTTTGAAAAATATAAAATGCCACAACTAGCAGAAGAAATTTAAAATATTAATAGACCTAATACATATAAGTAAATTGAATGGTAATTGAAGACCTTACCTCCAGAAGGCTTCCAGTCAAGATGGCAGCATGGGCAGACATGACTCAATTCTTTGCACAACCACATCAGAATTACAACTGGAATATAGAACAATAATCACCCAGACCCATCAGAAATTAAGTTGAATGGAAGTCTGACAACTATGGAATTAAAGAAACTATATCGATCCAGACTGGTAGGAGGGGCACAGACGTGGAACATCTTGTTTTACATCCACATGTGGTAGATAAAATTCAGGATGGATATCTCAGAAACAAGAATCCCCTTGCTCTCACACCAGGATCCCCTAGTCCACGGTTCCAGTGCCAAGAAGCTATATCCCCACAACTTCTGGCTGCAAAAAGCAGCGGAGATTGAGTCAGTGGAAGAAATTTCTGGAGCCCCAAGCAGTTCCTCTTAAAGGACCAAAACACAGACTCACCTGCTCACACTCACTCCCTCTGAGCTCCGGTGCTGGGGTGGCAGCTTGGAAGGCACCAGTTGAGTGCTGGGATAGACTGAGGTGTCTGGCATCAATGAAAACAGAGGCCATTGTCCCTTTCTTAAACCCTTCCCCCACAGAGCTAGCAAGCTGGTGCCAAATCTGAGACTGCATCAACCTGGCTAACACTGTTTGACCCACCTTGGAGATCCCCAGAGACTCCACCCCACCCAACTTATGGACCCACCTAAGCTGCTTTTTCATATGAATGGCTGGTGTTGGCTCAAGCTGCACAACTTCCTAAATCCACTCAAACAAGCAACAGCTGGTCTCCATGAGCCCGAGACCCAGCACTAACAGCAGCCAGCCTAGACTCACGGCTTAGCTTTGCCTGGGAATCTCCAAACCCAGCACAAGTAGCAGCCATTGCAGATTGCTTTATAGCTCAGGCAGGGTGGGGACTGACTCACCCTGGGCAAAACACAGGTAGGGACTGACCTTGCCCTGCACCACCCGGGAGACCCCAGAGCCTATACAACCAAGTGGGCAGCTACAGACCACATTGGAGCACCACCACCCTGCCCCTGCACAGCTGATCCTCCACAGAAGGCAGAGGTTGGTGGTCAGTGGTCACAGCCAGTCCTTGTAGCTGACTGGCCTAGGTAAATCCCTCCCATTGACCTGTCGACAACAACCAAGGCTCAACTATAAGAGGAGGGTGCACTCAGCCCACACAAAGGGTACACCTCAAGTATTCAGCTTGGATGATAGGGGAGGCTGTGCCACTGAAGCCTACAGGACACCTACTACATTAGGCCACACTACCAAGACATGGAGACATAGCAGCTCTACATAATGCATAGAAACATAGGGAGGCTGCCAAAATAAGAAGACAAAGAAACATGGCTCAAATGAAAAAACAGATCAAAACCCAGAGAAAGAGCTAAATGAAATGGAGATAAGCAATCTATCAGATCTGGGGTATCAAATTCATTCCCCCCCAGGGCCATATCATCCACATGGTTGCCTTTGAAGGGCCAAATGTAATTTCAACTCCTTAATAGTTAAGGAGTAGTTACATTTATATAGTCCTAAAATTATTTTGGCCCTTTGAAGACAACTGTGAGGCTGATGTGGCCCCTGGTGAAAATGAGTTTGACACCCCTGTTCAGATGCAGAGTTCAAAACACCGGTTATAAGACTGTTCCAGGAATTTAGTGAGGACCTCAATAGCATAAAAAAGATCCAGTCAGAAACAAAGGATAGACTAACTGAAATAAAGAACAATTTACAGAGAAATAACAGTAGAGTAGATGAAGCTGAGAATCAAATCAATGACTTGGAACATAAGGAAGAAAAAAAATCAGAACGAGAAGAAAAAATAACACCCCCCCCCAAATTAGGATAGTATAAGCAACCTGTGGGACAACTTCAAGCATTCCAACTATTGTACCATAAAGGTGCCAGAATGATAAGAAAAAGAACAAGAAATTAGAAATCTATTTGAAAAAATAATGAAAGAAAACTTCCCCAATTTGGTGAAGGAATTAGACATGCAAAGTCCAGGAAGCACAGAGTCCCATATAAGATGGATGCAAAGAGGCCCACTCCAGGACACATCATAGTTAAAACTCCAAAGGTTAAAGATAGAGAACCTTAAAAGCAGCCAAAGAAAAGAAGTTAGTCACCTACAGAGTTTCCTGAGAATTGCCTGAGAGTTTCTATAAGACTCTCAGATGATTTCTCAAAAGAAACTTTGCAGGCTAGAAGGGGCTGGCAAAAAATATTCAAAGTCATGAAAAGCAGGGAGCTATAGCCAAGATTGCTCTACTCAGCAAAGCTATCATTTAGAATCAAAGGGCAGATAAAGAGCTTCCCAGACAAGAAAATACTGAAGGAGTTCATCAGCACCAAGCCATTACTGTATGAAATGTTAATGGGACTTATTTAAGAAAAATAAGATCAAAACTATGAACAATAAAATGGCAATAAATACATATCTACCAATGTGAATCTACAAAACAAACTAAGCAGACAAAAAGAAGAGAGACAGAATCATGGATATGGAGAGCATTTTGATGGTTGCCAGATGGGTGGGAGGTACAGAGGAATGGGTGAAGAGGTGAGGGGATTAAGAAGTACAAATAGGTAGTCACAGAATAATGGGAGTAGCCAAAGAATTTATACGCATGATCTTTGGACATAAACAATAGTGTGGAGATTGCCTGAGGGAGAGGGGGTTGCTGGATGGAGGAGCATAAAAAGGGAAAAACTGGTACAATTGTAATAACATAATCAATCAAATATAATTAAAAATTTAAAAGATTAAGGAAAGTGCTTTTCACTGTAACAACAGAAGAGGGAGCACTTGAGCTGAAAAACCAGGAGGGGCCCTTAAAAACTTGCTTATTCTCTCTAAAACATCCATTAGTTAAAAGTTGACCCAGAAAAATCCAATATATTCAAACATGAATAACATCAACGAAAATTCGGTGCCATAAAAAATTATAAGAAAAAAACACACAGAGGAATAATTACATTTTGACAGATGAAAACATGATAAAAAAAAAAAATGCTGTCCCAAAGCAGAAACCAAGAGCAAACTTACGAGATCACAGTAGTAGATACTGTGGTGTGCTTCCCAGACATCCACTTCAAGACTGAAGCAAGCATTGAGTGTTCCTCTGGGAATTTCCTTTGGCCAAAGAAATTCTCCCTCTTCCAAGTTTGAACCTCTCCCCAAGATTCACTTGCATCCAATGACTGGTCCATGTTCAAAATACGGAGGTCCCTCCCTCAATTTGAACTACTCTAAAGGGCCATTCCAACATCAAAGCTCCTTAGGGGATGGGCTGAGGCCTTTGCTGTAAATGATCATGGTCAGTGGTTTGCTGGATCTGGCTCCTACTGTCCTGTGAGAATCAACTTTTAACATTTTTAGGAATTTTACAAACAGGTTGTTATAGTCTTTGCTAAACAAATTATGTAAACTCAAAATTAAATAAATTACATTCAAAACCAAGGTAAAAAATACTCAATATTCATTACTTCCTACATATTTTATTACATTTACTATTATCTATGCTCTTGAGGATATGTCTGTTTTTCTCTGTGGGTGCCACTATGCATTTCCCCCCAGATCTATGCTCAGTGACATCATGTTTATAGCTTAAAAATGACCACGATGAAAGTATTTACATGCTGGAAAATATTATAAATTTGGGCTTTCACTCCCCCCGAGAACTGGTTGTTAAACATTTACCAGTGCACTATCAACTGCAGTTCCGCATCTCCTTTCTGTCTGATTCTCCTTCCTTCACGCTGTCACAATTGCTCATCCCAAGGGTGCTCTCCAGTAAACTTTGTGCACACCAGTCCCTGCCTCAGACTCTGTGTCCCAGGGACTGCAGCCAAAAACAAAACAAACAAAACAAAACAAAACAAAACAAAAAATGGCTAGGATCAATGTACCATATAGAACATAAAGGATGGAAATAAGAAAAACCAAGAAAAATGAAAGAAATACAATATTACATGGATCAAAGAAAGTAATATAGAAATCCGATAAACAACATACATATTTCCAGATGCCTTTAAGAAGAAAATCAAAATAATAAAATTAATACAACTATAATTCAGTCACATTTGGGGGATGGCTGTGGAGGGGAAGAAGACCTAAATCTATACTTATTGAAAGGGCACACCATATACCAAATTAAATAGCCCCAGACTGGCCATCATTTAGACTTATCCTAGAAAATTATTATGTTTTAATACAAATAAAAAAACTACCTGTGGTTTCTGGCAGAAAGACCAAGTCATTTTCTAAGGAGAGCAAACCACTTTGGCATCAGAGTTCTAGCAACATTCAAAGCCAGAAAATAGTAAAGCAACAATTATATTGTAGAATATAATCAAGGGAAAAAATGTACACAAAGAATTTAAGTGCAGACAAACTGCTCTATAAGTAGCAAGGCTATAGAAAGGTTTTCAGTGTGATAATTACCTGGGATGATTATATTCATCAGTCCTTCCTGAGGACAAACTTCACCAACTAAGAGAGGACTGAAAAACTTCAACCAAGAGACTGGTAGTGCACGCTGAACATATTTAGCTATGCATCTAAGAATAAAACAAAAGTGGGAATAAGAATAGCATAAAATTTTATATGCTCTGACAATGTAATAATAACTAAGAAATCTAATAATTAAGAAACAATGACAGGATAGAAAAAGTTAAAATAGCTCACTGACTAACAGGTAAAACGTGGGAATCCAGGGATGTGATTTAAAGCCAACAAACTAATTATACAAAGCAAAACATTTAGAAGGACAAGAATGAATAATTAAGGAAACAATAGCATTAACTAAAATTGCTGGGTGGTGGGCACAGAGGAGACAGGTGGTAGTTTCAAGTGCTTTTATTACTGCTCCAAGTAGGAAACTAATAGTCAATGATAAAGAAAAAGAGGACCAAGTTATCATATGAGAATTGGTATAGAGGGAAATTGTTAGAACAAAAATATAAATTTCCCTAAATATCAAGAGAAATACACACACTGACACCCATACCACAAACGGCAAAAGAAACCGAATATACAGTTTACTGGAAGACCATGCATTGTTTTGTATATATAATGATGACATAAATGAAGTCAAATATAGAAGTTGTATGTTGGTATATATATATTTATATACATACATATATATGTATGTATATATATGTGATTTGAGCATATATGCTTAAATATTATATATACACACACACACATATATATACACACACTTATCAAAAGGAAGGGATTTTCCAGTTGACTCATAAAATAAAATTCCACTCTGTGCTGTGTATAAGAGAGTCTCAAATTAAAAAATGAACAAAGATGGCCCTGGCTGGTGTGGCTCGTGGATTGAGTGCTGGCCTGAGAACCAAAGGGTCACCAGTTCAATTCCCAGTCAGGGCACATGCCTGGGTTGCAGGCCGTGTCCCCAGTGCCGGGTGTGTAAGAGGCAACCACACACTGATGTTTCTCTTCCTCTCTTTCTTCTTCCCTTCCTCTCTCTCTAAAAATAAAAAATAATAAATTTTTAAAATGAACGAAGATGTACCACATAAATGCAAATTTTAAAAGGCAAGTATTATAATCTTAATATCAGATAAGGTAACAAACAAAAATATTAAATGAGACAAGGAAGGACACTTTAAAGTGCTCAAAGCTACAATTCACTATGAAGATATAATAATAGTCATATCTATGCAACAAATAATATAGCAACATCTTTAGTAAAGTAGTAGCTACACAAGATGGTGGAAATAGAAAAATACTAATAATTACTTTAATGAGTATCTCTCAGTCCAAGACAGTTCAAAGAAATAACAACAAAAAAGCATTTAGGAGAACTAAATGATGTTGGACTATAAGATGGATAGTCTTGTAAAATGATAAAAAGTACATCAATCTTACTAAATATTACATGATGATATACTAGTTATCACTGCATAACAAACTACTTGCAAAATTTAGAGGCTTAAAACAACATGTATTTTAAAAATTTCTGTGGGTCAGGAGTCCAGCAGCAGCTTAGCTGGCTGGTTTCTGGCTCAAGATCTCTCATAAGGCTGCAGTCAAGATGTTGGCTGGGGCTGCAGTCACCTGAAGCCTTGACTAGGTCTGGAGAAGCTGCTTCCAAATTGGCTCACTCATGTAGCTGTTGGCTAGAGACCACATGGAGCTCTCTCCATAAAGCTTCTTGAGAATCCTTTGATATGGTAGCTGGCTTCTGCCAGAACAGATGACACAAGAGACAGAAAAGATGAATGCCTTTGTATAACCTCAGAAATGCCATGCTGTCATTTCCTCCACATTCTATTCATTAGGTACAAGTCCCTAAGTGTCATCCTCATTCAAGGGAGGGTCTCCACCTTTTGAAAGGAGGAATACCAAAGAATTTGTGGATTACGTTTTAAAACTATCACAGATGGTATATGAAAAGTAAAAATTTGGATTGTTTTTCTATTAAAATAAAGAACTGATCTATAGTCTGTTGTCAATACCCAGATAACCAAAATTTCTTAAATCATAAAAATACTCTACACAAGAGCCTGTTAACGTTTGAGTCTTGCATTCACGGTAGTCATTTAATAGGCAAAGGAAAGGAAGAAAAAGGGGGAAGATTAAAAAGTTACAGCAAAAAATACACAGAAACATTGTTTGGTCAGTGTGACTCACTAATGGGAATGTTCCAACATTATCTGCCTTGTTTGGAAGACAAAGACCTTTTAAGGACAGTGCAATTTAAGGATTTGGACCTGGTCCTGCTTGAGTTTAAAGGGCTTTGCCTTGATCAAGGGCCTCAAGTAGAGGATAGAACAAGGAGGATAAATATAAAGTATCAAGTCTTTCTCTTTTTTGTTTCTTTTTCTTTAGAGAGAGAGAAAGAGAAACATTGATGTAAGAAACACAGATTGGCTGCCTCTCGCTCCCACCCTGACTGGGGATCAAACCCACAACGTGTTGTTGTAGAGGATGACGCTCCAACTAAGTGAGCCACCCAGCCAGGGTTCAAGTCTTTCTTATAATGTGGTGGTTATCTCCATCTAGGATAAATGCTACTTATGAAAGACTGTCCTTTCTTTTCTGTCTAGTTTAACTGCCCAAAAAAATGAACTACCTAACAGAAATCAAGACAAAGAAATATGGTCAACCTTCATTACCAGAACCAATTTATAATTACAAGAGTGCTAAAAGTAAAGCCCTGCTTTCCAATTCTGACAGGTAAATGAGCTAATTGGAGTTCATAGTTCTAATTATGTTCACCTTTTACTTCAAAACTCAGGTTTGCCATATTGTCTTTTAAAAACAAAACTAATCAAGCAATCCTAAAACACAATTTTAATTTCTCTAATAAATATACTGAAAAAAATCTTCCAGTGCAAGGAGATAAATTGAGCACATCTGGGATTCTTGCCAGGATAAAAAAAATCTGTGGCACACTATTTAGAACCAACTGCCAGAGTTCAGTTATCACCAATTTCCATCATATTTTAAAAATTGAAAATAACAATTTGCTTTCTAGATGAGGTCAGTTCCCATAAGGCTATAGCCTGGATGATGTTGTTGACCTTTTCTCATTTCTTGGGAAGGCATTACACATATTTATTCCGACATGCTTTTAACACAATCCAATGTTCCACACAAGCCTCTGTCTATCCAATGGTCCTAGTTCTGGGGTGTTCCTTTAATGTTAGAATATGGAACATGTTCGTAATGTTTCTCAGAATTACAATAACTAAAACTTTCAGTTCTTTTCCTCGGTTTTTCCTCTTTATTTACAAAGGTAGAATACTTTAGGGCCGATTTAAAACAAATATGATACAAGAGTAACAAGTCTGAGGTCTGCCACACAGAGTGTATTGTCTTCGGTAAATCACCTACCCTCTCTTTGCTTCAATTTCCAGTCTCTAAAATATAAATAATAGTATTTAATCTAAATCATAAGGTTACAATCTTGAAAATTAATGATAATGTGGCTGAGCTAATTTTAACAAAATCTACTTTTAGTAGATTTTAGTGTTTTAGTGCAGGAGTTGGCAACCCATAGCCTATGGGCCAAATGTGGCCCAAGACCTGTTTGCATAGTTTACAAGTTAAAACACTTTTTTACATTTTTTAAAGAATTAGGAAGGTGAAAGAAGGAGAGGAGGAACGAGGAGAAAGAGAAGAAGAAGCAGCAAAGACTGTATGTGATCCACAGCCCCTAAAATAGTTCCTAACTGGGCCTTTACAGAAGTAGTTTGCTGACCTCTGTTCCAGTAGATTCAGCTATCTAGAAAATATTTCCAGAACTAATATTTTTGATAAATATAATAATCAAAATGTATACACTTCAGAGCCATATTATGGGAAGTTAAAGGGGTAAAGGGAGAGAAAATTTTATTTGAAATCATTCATTTAATAAACATTTGAACGCCGAACAAACAAAGTGCTAAGCACTGGTGATGAAACAAGTGAACAATCAGGTAACTAATCCCTGCTCTCATGGACTGGAAGAAAGGGCAAATAAGCAATTACCACTGGTTGAAGAAACTCAATAATAATGGATAAATTTGCAGGTTAATAAGGGAGATTATAGAAGGGGCACTTAATCCAAATTTGGGGTGTCAAAAGAAGTTTTCCAGAGGAATACCCTCTAGGATGGAACTAAATAGAAAGAGGCTTTCAGTTGGCCTTTGAACAACACAAGGGTTAGGGGCACTGACCTCCCCCACACAGTCGAAAAATCTGAGTATAACTTTGAGTCCCCCAAAACTTACCTACCAATAGCCTACTAATGACCAGAAGCCTCGCTGATAACAAAAACAGTTGCTAGCATATATTTTTGCATATGTATTATATATTTTATTCTCACAATAAAGTAAGCTAGAGAGAGGAAAATGTTATTGAAAAAAATTGTAAGAGAAAATACATCTATAGTATGTACTGAAAAAAAATCCACATATAAATTGGCCTGTGTAGTTCAAATCTGTGCTGTTCAAAGGTCAACTGTAATTAAGTGAAATAGGGGAAGAAAAAGTATACCTGTTCAAGAGACTATCGTACAAAGATCCAGGGCCCAGATAGAGCATTGTTACTTAAAGACGTAAAGGTCAGAAGAGATGGGACCTACCTTTACAGGGATGTAGGAGTGAAGGTAGAGTTACTAAGAGATGGGGCTAGAGATATAAGCAGGCATCAAGTCATGTTGCAGGTTTTAGATTTTACACTGAGGATAATGAAAAGCCATGAGTAAATTTTAAGCTGGGGAGTAACGATGCAATTTTCATTCTAGAGGACATACTCTAGTGATATAGAGAGTGGACTAAGGGGACAAGTCATAATGAAACTAGCTAATGAAGCTGCACATGCCATAATCCACGTGAGAGATGGAACATACTGCTATCAATTAGTACCAGGTCAAATGCATTATATCACTTTTTAAAAATTTATTGATTTTAGGGAGGAAGGGAGAGAGATTGAGAGAGACAGAGAAACATCAATTTGTTGTTTCATTTATTTATGCATTCCTTGGTTGCTTCTTGTATGTGCCTTGACCAGGGATGGAACCTGCAACCTTGGTGTGTATTGG